CTGCAACCAGCGTCACAAGGTCCCCTCTGCCTTCATTCTCACACAGGAAAAGAAGGCCTGAAGTCATCCGGCACTGGCTCACCAGGGACTTTTCCACTGTTCGATCTCCCTGTCCCTGCTTCGCAAGAGAAGTCACTTCAAGATTCCAATCTTTGTTTCATTTTATTTTCATTCTGCCTTCTTTGGCCCTCTTCAGTCTCCAAAATCAACCTCTTCTGCTGGGATCTCTGGAAATCCTAACTCTGTTTTATGGAACGAAGTGTTACTCTCAATTGTAGAACTGTAAATACAGCCAACTGAGATTGCTACACTAAATGTTGTAATTTTGTCCTCTGACAGGCTCAGACAGAGGAGCCAGATAAGGGGCTGCTGGTGGTTTTGTCATTTGTAAAATAAGCTCATCCGTGCTTTCTTGCACAGGCAAAACCCCACACTTAGAAAGTCCTCAGCATCATACAATTCTACGAGCCTGGTCTCTGTCCCACAGCTCCTAATGTAGCCCAGAAGGTCAGGTCTGACCTGCAGTCCCACAGTGGGGAGCTGCATAAGCTGAACACACACTTTCGTGCTTCTTAGTGCTAGTGAGAAATATAATTTCTGAATGGGAGAAATGGAAGAGGTCACTTCCCTTACACCCCCATAATCCCCTCTAAGTGAAGTGTGGAGGTAAATTTACACTGTGTAACAAATACAAATGACTCAAGATGGAGGGGGTTTTTCTTGTTCCTCAAAATCAGAGGTTCTCAGGAAGCCTTGCTTTGAAAGGCAAATTCTTAAGTTGTCGTAATGACCAGGCCCAGACACCAGCCTTGTGTTCTGTTCTGTCCTGTGTACATTACTGAACAAATACAAATATCTTACCATGCACTCATACAAACAAAAAATTGGCCTAAAATTATGAAAGTCTAGAATCTACCTCTAATTTCTGACATAATTCCACACAAAGTGTGTATTTCTACACATTTAAGTATCAGTAGTCTTAGTAGACAGTAATCTCAGGCAGATGTGGTGGTCCACTCACGTAAGCCCAAGAGTCTGTCTGGGAGGCTGAGGCAGGAGGAGTCCAAGTACAAGGCCAGCGTGGATCACTTAGCAGCTTAACAAGCTCTTGTCTCTAAATAAAAAGTAAAAGTGGTTGGGGATATAGCTCAGTGTGAAGGCCCTATGTTCAATCCCCAATACTGCAAAAATCACAACAAACAAACAGTCTGCCCTTCTCTGTTGGGGGACACATCCCAAAGGCCTACTGGATGGCTGAAACCAAAGATCGCAATGAACCATGTTCTTTCCTCCAGGTATGTCTACTGTGGTAGAGATGTAAAGAGATAGGTCGAAAGGAGACAATGAAAATCGCAACTGTAAAACTGACTTTACCAAGAAAAACAAAAACTCCAGCTTCAGGATGTAAGAGTTACCCACAGTTCCAGTGCCTCTTTCCCCTCCAGGAAGCTCAAGCCAGGCCTTACAGACACCACAAGCCCATAACCTGGGTTTGGGCTTTCCGCCTGTGCACTGAGCCTGCGCTTCCTCCCATAGGTGGGCAGCGTCTCCCTGAACAGCACACACCTTCTGACACAGTCCAAATGGGCACACAGTAGGAAGGGGCGCGAGATCGTCACGTTGAGGATACCCCAAGACCACACAAATCCCCAGCCCATAATGCACCTCACCTCCCTCCCAAAGGCCTGCATGCTCTTCACCTCATTCTGTGCCTCTCGCTGAGTCATCCTACAATCCTTTTCTGTGACATACATCTACAAACCTATAACCTCTCCTAAGGATTGGGCAGTTGAGGACCCCATCTCCAGGGGTGGGGGGTTCTTCAGACCTCATCCGGTGAGACTAAACTAAGTTCAATATGTAAGTCAGGCACAGGAAGATTAATAATGAGAGCTGAAGACAGAACAACTGTGACAACATACGGCACTATAGTAAAAGTTCTGTAAATGTAGTCTCTCTTTCATAGTAATTCTATGTACTGATTTCAACACACCCCACCTTTTGTGCAGTAATGTGGATTGAACCCAGGGCCTTCACACTAAGCTAAATCCCCAGTCCTTTTTAAATTTTCTCCTATTTTTATTTTTGAGACAGGGTCTGGAAAAGTCACGAATTGTCCAAGCTGGGCTCAAACTTGCAATTCTCCTGCCTCAGCCTCCCAGACTGCCAGGATTACAGGCGTGCACCACCTGGTTTAACTCTCATCCTTCCTATAATGATGGGAGATGACACCATTTCTGCATGATGAGATGGGGACAGAAGTACTGTGAGGTAGCATTAGGCTACTACATAAAGACCACTTGAGCACAAGCACTATCAATCTGATAACCACAAAGGCTACCGAGTGACTGAAAGGTGGGCAGTGTATACAGTGTGGATACACTGGACAAAAGGGCTATCCACACCCCAAGTAATGATGTGATGGGACAGTGCAAGAACAGTTCACAATTTAAAATTTATGAATGATTTCTTGAATTTAACATTTAATACTTTCCAATCACAGTCGACCACACATGGCTGAAATCATCCAAAGCAAAATCACAGATGAAGGGAGACTACTGAACCTCAATTTATTTTAAGAATATAACTTCTGTGAACACTCTGTTTTGTTTCAGACTTTGCCAAGTGTTGATCACTGTTTTGCAAAACCTCATCTCCAAGGGTGATAACACTGCTGGTACTTTAATCTCCAGCTTAACACCGAAGATTAGTTAGGATTTATACCTGCTGTAGTGTTTGTACATTAAAATACATGTTGCTTAATTATAAATTATTCACTTTTTAAGCCTTTGTCATAGGTTGGCTGTGCATCTGCAGATTTTAGTATCTAAGGGGTGTTCTGGAGCAAATCTGCAAATACGGAGGGAGACTGATCCTTTTTACCTGTTTTCCTTCACTCAGTGTAACTATGCCATCTTCATCCTTCCGGTGGCACTGAATTCATTCCTGGAGGTCTCTCTGAAGGAGTCCACATGCGATTTCACTGTGTACAGCACGACCCTGCACCCCTACTCACTCATTAATGGGTGACTCGGGTTGTTCCAGTTTGGCTATCACACAAAGCAGCTACAAGTCTGTACAGGCCCTTTAGAAGTGTAAATTTCCCGTCCTAGGAGTGGCTAGTGGTATGGCAACTATGTCTAACTGAAAAAAAAAACAACAAAAAACAGACTGCCAAACTCTTTTTTCACAGCCAACAAATGAATTTATACTCGTGTCAGCTGGACCCACGATCCAACATGGCCTTAAGCCTGGGTGGCTACAGGTTGAAGAGAACACAGCAATTTAACAAATCAAGGAGGCACTAGTGTATTTTTTTTCTTTTGTACTGGGGATCGAACTTGGGACCTTGCGCAGGTGGCAGGACCACTGAGCTAAATCCCGGCCCTGGCACTGGTGTATTTCTGAGACAGGTCTTGCTATAATAGCGCCAGCTGGCCTTCAACTTTGGCAATCCTAATTTAGCCCTGCAAGTGCTGAGATTAAAGGTGTGTACTGCCACGTCCGGCCAGGCACTGCATTTCAAAACCCACAGGTAGGAGCTGGGAGGCAGAGCAGGCCTGGCTGCTGAGAGGAGCCAGAGGGAGCCAAGAAGCCAAGGCAGAACTTTTCCCATGATCTCTTGGCCTTCCTCAGAACCCCAGGACAGCCAACCTGAGGTGCACACTCCTCTGTTGAAAGGAGAGATGTGGGTGTGAGGGACCACGCCACGCTGAGGTCTGGCAGGATGTGCGTCCTCTGACCCCTCTACATCCACAGGGTTACAGGTGCCAGACTGGCTCACGCCTCTGTGGGGAAAGCAAGCACCCAGCTCATTCAGCTGACGACCTTAAAGGCCATGGCCCTAGCCGGGCCAGCCCTGGTGGAGGTGGCTTTCGAGCCCCACGAGCCAGCTCTTGCCACATCCTCCTCGGTGACAAAAGTGTCCAGCCCAGGGCTGCACTCAGATGAATCCACGCGAGCCATCCATCTGCACGCCAGGGTTTCCCAGGGCCGGGGCCCAGCTGCGAGGGGACAGGGAACTCCCTGACCGCTCAGGAAACCCTCCGAGTAGGGGGAGGGGCTCGGAGTGCACTCAGAAGGGACGTCCCAGGCAGGGGCTGTCTGCTCTCTCCACCACCCAACCTGTCCAGGGCAGCCTAAGCGGCCATTACAGAACAATGCACCATGCCACTGCCCGCATCAAACCCATCTCCTCCGAGCACCTGGAGTCAAACCACGAGGCTCAGCCCAGCCCGAGACCCCGGGACATCCCTCTGCCTGCCTCCCTGCCACTCCACTCAAGCTTCATGGTCGCCCTGCGCGCCACGCATGACACGGGTCCTTTGTACTGCTCGCTCCCTGGGACTGGAAAGCGCTCCTCGGGGTCACATTCCCCCTTCTCTGTCAGGTCTCTACTCGTCCTCTCAGAGCAGCCATCCCTGATCCTGTGTCTGAACAGCTGGGTCGCGAGTCCTTGTTTTCCTCTCGCCCTGTGGGCCTCTGAGGCGGCTCTTCAGTGCACACTCGGCTCCTGGCTCTCTTCTAGGCTGGAAAGGGCACCAAACAAGGCGCCAGCCCAGAGCCTCAGTGCTGGGCACAAAAGCAGCAACGAATCCCATCTGCACAGCGAATCCATGAAGGCCCAGGCCAGAGGCAGAGCTTCTTGGTTCAAGTCCTGCCCTGTCTCCTGCTGGCCACCTCCACAAGCTTAACAGCAACGCTCCAAATGGCAGGCACTCAGGAGGCCAGACGCCCAGAGGCAGGCATAAAAAGTGAACAGGAGGGAGGGAGAGCCGCACAGCCCAGGCACGCACTCGCAAGGGTCGCAGCAGATGGAATCTCCTTTTCCGCCCAGACTGCCGTGCCCACGTCCAGGTCCCCTTGGCAGGAGAGGCGACTGCAGCAGGGGGGACGGGCAGGACACTCCCAAGCCCACAGAGCTCATCGATGGTGGCACTGCCAGCATGCTGGCCTGGAGCGGACCGTGACCGCCTCATCCTAGAGAGCATCTTACTTACTTTCTAGACTTGGCACATTCCTTCTTCCAGTTCTTCACCAACACGGGCACCACCTGTTGTGACGTGTCCTCCTTATTCAGAGACCAGAGGTCGCCGCTCTCTAGGGGCTGCCGGTAGCCTCGGATCATCAACCTGTGGCCAAGACAGAGGCACAGATGATGAGCGCTGATGAGGGGAGGAAGAGGACAGCGGGTCCCAGGTCAGGGCCACCAACGAGGAGCGGCCACCCTGCAACCCCAGCAGCCAGGTGACCCGGAAAACCCCAGTGGGAAGGCAACTGGGCATTCAGCTAGTTCTGCGACCCAGGATGGCTCCACCTTACAGAGATGCACACAGGTTATTTGGGAGGGAAATGTCAGAAAGTCTCTAATTTATAGTTTCTTATTTCGTTTTGGGGAAGGGCTTTGGTTCTTAATGTGATGGGAATGAAATCCAAGGAGCACTCCAGTGCTGAGACACATCCCCAACTCTAATTTTTCTCTTTTAAAACAGAGTCTCACTATGTAGTTGAGACTGACCTGGAGCTCACTTTGTAGCCTAGGCTGGTCTCGAACTCACAGCGATCCTCCTGCCTCAGCCTCCCGAGTGCTGGGATTACAGGTGTGTGCCACCATGCCCGGCTCCCAACTCTAACTTCCTTCTTAAATTTTAAATCAGAAAAGGCTAACATGATAAAATACTAGCAGTCAGTAAATCTGAGTGATGAGTTTACTGAACATCCTTTATCTGAAACACTTAGAACCACAAGTTTACAGATTTCCTATTTGTTTCCAACTTTAGAATATTTGCATGGACGGAAGGAGAAACCACGGGGATGAACGTGAAATTCATTTATGCCTAATATATACTTTACCCACGCAGCCTGGAGGTAATTTCATACAACATCCTTAATGTGCCTGAGTTTTAATTGCAACTCAGCACACCTGGTCAGCTGTAGGAATTTCCACCTGGGAGGCATCACCATGGTGCACAGAGTTTCAGATTTCAGAGAATTTCAGATTTCAGATGTGAGATGCTCAACTGTACCAATCTATCCACATACTTGAACACATTCAGAATAAAAAGTAAACCCAACATTTTGACTTGTTTTGTGTTTGTTTTTTACTTATTTTTTGAAATAACTTCAGACCTACAGAAAAACTGCATGAATTACAGAAATAATTCACTTAACTTTAACATTTTTGTGGTATCCTTCTACTTTCATCTGTGTGCACACAAAAACACAAACACAGACCTTTTCTAGACTACTTGACAACAGGTGGAGACTCTACACAGCTCTGTCCCTAAATATTAGTGAATACTGAAAACAGGCCGTGCTCTGATATAACCAGGACACAATGTTAAAAGACAAGAATGTTATCGTTGCAGAGGATGTAAACTTCAGTCCATATCTGTTTCAGTCCAACTGATTTCGTTTTCAGTGATGTTCTCTTTGTCATGTTTTTGATACAGTCTCACCTTATAGTTCAAGCTGGTCTTGAACTCCCCTCTATAGCACAGGCCAGCCTCCTGCCTCAACCTCCCAAGTGCTGAGATTATAGGCGTGTACCACCACACCCAGCTTCCAGGAATTAAAAAGTAATTTACTTAATAAATTAATTTAAAAAATAACTATGAAAAATATTAAAGAAATATATTTGCAAAAAGCTTCCGATGACAAGAATAATGCCTATTAGGGGGAAAATGTATTCAAACAACCCCTAGTAAGGTTCTGACATAGGCAAAAAAAGACATGGCCTTTGTAAATAGGGAGAGGTGGAGGGGGTAAAGGGAGAGCAGGGGAATGGGGAAAAAATAAGAATCAAGATATAGCATGTAAACGTACAAATCTCCAATGATGCGTGTCATTATATAGTATACCTAAAATGTACCAATAAAATTAATTTTAGGGCCAGGGATTTAGCTCAGTGGTTCTGCTGCCTGCCTTGCAAGCACAAGGACCCGAGTTTGATCCCCGGTTCCAAAACAGAAAATTAATTTAAAAAAAGGAAAAGATGTGCCAAAGCAAAGGAGGACCACAAAGAAGCCTATTCAAATGCTGATGGGGGGTGTTGGTGGGTGCCTGTAGGTATTTTCTTGCTATTGATTTACACATATTTTTCTTAGCCACAGAAAATTTTCTATGCTGTATATATATGGTTTTTATGATGGGAGGGGGACACAATGCCAACAACAGAGTCAGCCTTCCATATATACAGCTGCCACACCCACGGATTCAATGAAGCATGAAAATATTAAAAATGTGTCTGTAGGGCTGGGGGTTTAGCTCAGTGATTCCACTGCCTGCCTTGAAAGCTCAAGGTCCAGAGTTCGATACCCCAGTACCAAACAAAAAAAGTGTCAGTACTGAATATGTACAATTGTTTCTCTTATCAGCATTCCTAAGCAATACAGTATGAAAACTATTTCTATAGTATTTACATTGTACTGGGTAAGCAATCTAGATAGGATTTAAAGTACATGGGAAGGGGGCCAGAGATTTAGCTCAGTGGCACCACGCCTGCCTCAAAAGCACAAGGTCCTGAGTTTGATCCCTGGTATAAAAGAAAAGAAAGAGAACAAACAAATGAACAAACACAGGAAGATATACACAGGACATAAGAGAACAATTTCCTGTTTTATGTAAGGTACTTGAGCATGGAGGATGATAGTAACTGTGGGGGTTCTGGAACCAATCTCCCCAACACCAAGGATGAACGGAATTTTACTTGGTGTAAAAAATCATCCAATCCGCAGGTGACCCTGGAGCTGGACAGTGCCCAGGCCGAGCCTTTCACAGAGGTGAGCCGCTCGTGTCTTTGTGGACATCACACTGGGGTTCAAGAATGCAACGCAGTCAGTGTCTCTGAGCCCACAGGGCCAGCGCACGAGGACGCAGGACACAACGCTGCAGGTGAGTGGGGAGACAGCAGGAGCCACACTCACTCACGCACGCACTCATTCGCCACCACCTGCCTGAGGAATGGGGCCCAGCCTTACCCTGTGATCCACCAGAAGGTGATCCTGGAAAGGAAGGAGGCGCCGGACTCCGGGCAAGGATTCTAGCAGAGAAGAGCACAGGGTGGGGAGGAGATGGGAAACACAGTTAAGCGTTTCATCTGTGCCAGAGCTGGGCCAAGAGCAGTCCACCGCCTTCGAAAGGACCCTCCCTCAATGCCTGCCCACACCGATTCTTCTCCCGAGCCTCAGGGGAGGACAGCCGGAGGCGGCTCCCCTGGTTTACCAGCAATAAAAATAAATAAATAAAAGTGCCCCAGCGTCCACGATGCGCAGGTAGGAAGACCGTGCCGTGGCCCACCCTGTCGTACATCCCCACAGCAAGCCCGCCGGCTGTCACTGTCCGGCGTCACTCACTCATTCAGCAAGTATTTGCCGAGCACCCTCTGCGTCTGGCACTCCACAAAGCACTACAGACCTGCCTGCCTCTCCCCGTGGCGCCATGACAGCCCTGAGGAGGGTGTCACTGTTGTCCTCGCTGTATTCCATTCACTGAGCAAACACTTACCGGGCATCTCCTGTGCCTGCCAGGCACTCTACAAAGAACTATGGTCTTGCAGTCCTTTCTATCTCTAGAGAACTCTGTGAACGGATCATCTCCACTTCATTCATTTACTCATCTGACAGAATACCCTAACCCTAACGCTAACCCTAAGTACACACATCCGAACAGAGACACGGCTTCTGCCTTCACAAGCATGAGGCAACAGTTACTGATAACAAAACCAGATGATCAAGCTTTACACAGATTATCTCATTTAATCTTCATGACCACCTTACAAGGCAGGTCTAGTATCACCTTCATTTTGCTGTTAAAGACACAGAGGATCAGAGGGGAAATAACTTTCCCAAGGTACCACAGCTAAGTGACAAGAAACAGAATGTGTGACCCCAGACTGCCAGGCTCCAGAGAAAAACAGCAGTCATCAAATGATAAAGCAAACAACGCACAGACACAAAACTCTGACTATGATAGGTGCCTCAGAGGCGAGTCAGTATTACTAGCAAGACCACCTCAGGTGCTAAGGCCCTGTGGTAGAGGGAAGCATATAGACTCCAGTCCCCAAGTGGCAGCCTGAACAGTCTCCAACTCCAGCCATGCACAGCCTACACTGGAAAGCAGTCAGCAATGCTGATCTTCATCTGAAGGGGAGTGGGAGTCACTGACAGGGTCCAAACTAGCTTTCAAAGGCCTCTTTTCTAAAGCACAGAAAGAAGTCTAGCTCAACAACACACAGCCAGGCTGTTCTGATGTTCTGCAGCTCAGCTGGCATGGGCGCCATACAGCTCAGGTCCCAGCAGTTTGCAGAGACAAGGCACTGAGTGGGCTGGCTGAGACCAGACATGCTAACCAGGTGGGTCCCCCCAGCTGGAGGTGCAGCTCTAAGGCACCACATCTGGTTTCCACCCCACAGGGATTCAAGCAAGCTGGCTTGGGTGAACTCAGGTATCAAAGTTTGTTTCTGTTTCAAACTTCTAAACTCTGTAGGCAGAGTCTCTGGCCAGGAAATGTACAAGATATGCCTGGAACATCTTGTTATATCCAAGGACGAGGAGGATCATTGAAAGGCCCCAGAAGCAACCAAAAGTGGCTACTGCTGACCAAAAAGAGCCAATATTAAGTATAATGCACAAAATATACCACATGTTTAAAAATGCAACTTCATAACTGACACTGGAGAAAAACATGAACATCTTGGTGTCACTGATTAAAAGATGTTTAGAAAACCAAGTCATCTGAAAAGGTGCTCAGGAAACCAAGCCAATGTCTTGGAAACAGAAAAAAGGGAAAGAAACAAGCATCACCCCACTGTTTTTTCTAAATGAATCACACCACAGGGTGAACAAGAGGAGGGAACGTGTCTTCACTGGGAAAAAAAAAATCCAGCTCACAGCAAAAAGGAATTAAAAAAAACATTAATGATGTAATAAGCCATTCTGCAACCCCAGTGGCTTCTCGGGACATTCAATGACATTGAACAATTACTGATTTTAAGCCACATAATGGTATATACAACATTAAATTTCTTTAAATTTTCATCTTTCAGATGTTACCTTTGGAGAAAGTTGAGTAAAGGGTACATGGAAACTTATTTTTGCAACTTTTATAATCCAAACTATCTCAAAGTTAAAAGATCAAAAGTAAAGCAAAGCAATGCATACGCTCTGGTGATACATACTGTATGCAGGTGGTACAGGGTAAACGCATGGCAGCTCATTATACCAGTCTACTTAGTTTATATGTTTGTCATAACAGCAAAATGCAAAGCCCCCCTCAGCAATCCTAACACAGGGCCTGAGCCAGGCATAGTGGTACACACCTGTAATCCCAGCACTTGGGAGGCTGAGTCAGGAGGATCGCTGTGAGTTTGAGGCCAGCCTGGGCTATATAGTGAGTTCCAAGTCAGTCTCAACTACATAGTGAGACCCTGACTCAAAAAACCCAAACAAAAAAAACACACAGCCTGTGCTATGAGGGGGGGTGTTTTCCCAGACCCAACTGCCCAAGAGAATCATCTGGGGACTTCGCTAAACCCAGGTGCCCGGGGCCCACCCCAGACTGACTCAATCTCTGGACTCTGTTCTGGCTGAATCTCCAGGGTAATGGTCTGTTCAGGACCTCTTGAGTTGGGCTCTAGCATGAACATATTTTTAGTCAATTAAATCAATTCTGTAGGTCCACAGGCCAATATTCCAGACCAACCAAAAGCAATGTAAACTCTGACCGTGGAGCTAAATAAGTTCAGATCCTAGCTCTGACATTTTATAGCTGAAGGACCTTGGGCTGAGTCCCTTTACCTCCAAACCTTGGTTTTCATACCTGGAAAATGGGAGTGGGAGCCCCATAGCTGAGGGCACCTCACAGGTTGGCCAAAAGGTCAAGTAAGGCAGGACCCTGGGGGCTGTGTGGTAAGCTGGATCCTTCCAGACAAGGTGGTAACATTATTTGAGGAGGAGGTGGGGATCCTGGCATTGCAGGCCAGGCAGAAAATATTTCATTACAGCCTGGTTATTCTTTCAGAAGAGCGGTAGGCCTGCCCACACCACAGTCAGCGGTTACCAGGGAATCACAAATGCACTGTGACCACAGCCCAAGTCCTACCCACTGTGAAAGGTCACAGTGCTTTCTGGCAGGGAAGAGATGAGAGGGTGGGGAACAGCTGGCAACGACACACTCACTTCTTAGGCAAATATTTAGGGAAGACCTGCTTATAGGCCAGGACGAGGGCCAAGCGCTAAGCACAAGGCTGTGAACCAGACCTGAGGTCCCTGTCCCCACCTCGCTTCCTGCCCTGAGGGACACACGACCACACAAAGCAGACCCGGACTCCCAGTAAATAGAGAACTATATAAAAGGCGAGAACAGCCAGAGGGAAAAAAGAAGGTGGGGAAGGGAAACAAGGGCAGGGGTGAGTTATGTGTGAAGCAGCGGTGTCTCAGCTGTGGGACCTTGGGCAATTTGCTTAGTGGCATATAATAAAGTACTAAGTGGCCAAGTACTTACAATAGTACCTAGTTCAGAGTACAGCACAATAAGTGGTATCAGTATAATAGTAAAAACAGTAACAATGCCTTCCATGTCTATCAAAATAGCAAGCTGTGTATCTTAAATATCTGCAATTTTTATCTGTCAACATATCAATAAAGCAAAAAGAAAAAGAAATCCAATGGCTTCCATTTCTTGCAGACCCATGAGAAGTTAACTCCCATACCAGATGCTTTCTATATGGGGGTGAGGGAGGGGAACAGTGGGCCACCAGCTGGCTGTTTGGAAATAAAGTTTTATTGAAGCACAGCTTCCATTCATTTGCACACTGCAGCTGCTCTTGAACTACAAAGGAAGAGCTAAGTATTGCATCAGAGATCACATGGGCTACAAAGCCTGAAATATTTATTAGGTGGCCCTTTACAGAAAAAGCTGGCTGCTTCCTGCTTGTATCAAACTTCACCGCACTCTACAACATGGTGATTACCAAGGAGCAGAACCAGGCCCCAAATGAGTCTTTGCCTCCAAATCCAGCCTGCCTTTGGCCTTGGCATGAACAAGGAAGACAGGCCACTCATGGGTGCTGAAACGCAGCCTGCTCCTACAGCACCAGTCCCACCCAGACTAGTCAAATTGAAGCCCCAGCCACTGGGAAAAGACTCACTCTGCAAACACAGTAAGGTCACATTAGCAACGGAACATCTCCCAGTCTCTAATCTGCACCCACAAAGAACTACATCTCATCTTCTCCCAGGCCTTCCTCCTCCAGATCCAAACACAGATTTTCAGATCATCTGAAGTTAGATACAGGGACCAACCCAGAACTGCCTTCACCAGCACTGAAGGAAATCTGAGCAGGCAAAGCCTGTATGGGATACAGAAAGCCTTATGTGATAACAAAGACCTGTTATAAAGTAGCTGAAGATAAATAGTAAATAGGAGGGTAAAAACCAGGCTGGTTGATAAGGATTCTGGCAACATCTCGCTCTTTAGAATCTAAGGTCTGCTTCCTGGAGGAATTAAGTGCAAGAGGCAGCATGGCTAGCTGGGGGTTTTCAGGCACCAGGGATGAAATAAGCAATCCTCCCCCCGTGGAATGAGGAAGGCTTATAAACTGGTACCTTGTTCACAAACTCCAGGTGTTGTGGCACACACCTGTGAGCCCAACACTATGGTAGGCTGAGGAAGGAGGATCATAAGTTCCAGCCCAGCCCACGCAATTTAGCAAGACCCAATCTCAAATATTAAAAGGGCCGGAGAGATCCAGGTGTGGTGGCTCACACCAGTAATCCCAGTACTCCAGAGGCTGAGGCAGGAGGATCACCATGAATTCAAAGATAGCCTGAACTACATGGCAAGGCCCTACTCAAAACATTTTTAATAGGGGGAGGGGATTTTGCTAAGTGGCACCGCACCTGCCTGGCAAGCACAAGGTCCTGAGTTCAATTCTCAGTACCAAGAAAAAGGGGGAGGGGTCTGGAGATGCAACTTGGTACAGAGGTTCTGGGTTCAATTCCCAGCAAGAAGGGGAGGTGGCGGGGAGAGAAACAAAATGAA